CGTCTTCATATATATAAAGGAGAATAATAAAGAATTATTCCTGTTCAAGATGACTACGTGGTGCTGTAAGGGAAGGGGTCAGCTGCTGGTCTGCCCTGGATCAGAACTTTCCTCAGACAGAACGTGTAACACTTGGTGAGAACAGTTGAGAGGTGTAAATAAGAATTAAGCAAACTTCTGTTAATTTTTATCAAATTAAGTTCTTTCATTTCTTTGAACAACTTTCATCAGACTTGTTCTTGCTGTTCCCAGTCTTGTGAGAGGTCTTCAAAAATTCCACAGGAAAATAAAATTTGAAGGTAAGAATGTTAAGTATAAATTTTGTTTCTCAACATAAGCTCCATCAGGTCAAGACACTTGTCAAGCGATGATACCCATACAGGCTGTGTAGTCCACCCCTGAAGAACTGAGGGTCCTGGGATCTTAATCATTTCAATAGTCTTTTTTATATTAAGAACTGAAGAAAAATGGGTGCCTTTTAAAGACACAATGAAGTCAGGAAGAGTCAAATCCAGGCTCTCAGGTGGATGCCTAATGCTTTCCCAACGAAACTTCGGCAAAATTGCCCGTGTCTGATGAGAGTGATGAGCAGGAGCAATGTTCTGGAGGAGAAAGGCTCTCCAGGGGAGCATTCCCAGGCCTTCCTCAGCTAAAGCTTTGGCTAACTTCCTCAAAATCCTCTCTATTACAATAAACACCTGTTATCAAAATTTGCGCTCCACAAAGTTAATGAGCAAAATGCCCTGAGTATCCAAAAAAAAGCACTGTTGCCATTACCTTTGCTCTTGCCCAGTTTGCTTTTGCTTTGACTGGACTACATCTCCCTCTTGGGAGTCAGTGTGTTGTATTTTATTGTCTTCAGGATCATACTGGTAAAGCCATGTTTCTTCCAATCCTACAGCTCTTCCAAGAAAGGTCTCAGGATCTTGATACCACTAGTTAAGCATTTCCAGTGAAAGCTATATACTCATATCTACAAGTGATCTGGGCCCAAAAGCTTGGGCACCCATGGAGCAGAATGTTTGCTCAACTTTAATTTTTCAGTCATAATTGTGTAAGCAGAACCAATGAGATGTTTATGGTGTTGGGTTGTTGTTGTT